TTCATTCAAAACATTTAGTCAATATCCTTTTCCTATTTTTTTACATTTTATTCTGGCACAGTATCCCAATAGTTTTTAGGGAGTTTTATATTCCTGTCCATCTTTTGCCCCAGACTATAACTTTCTGCATGGTTGCAGTGCCTGGAGGAAGAGGTCCAAGTACAACTTCTCCCGAAGGACAGAGCAGGCCAGGCATTTGAAAGGACAGTGCTCATTTTTCACAAAACAAGAAAAACTCCAGAAGGATCACAGGCTGTGTAAAGGGATGGGGAAAAGACAGTACCAGGCATATGGGTGAGCTAATACTGGTGCACAGGGGATAAATCAAGTTCCCGTTGTCTCTATTCCAGTGTACTATCTCAGCAGTTGTACTATCCCCTAATCAACAACACACCTACATGCCGCCCGTGTTTCCTGCTTATGTTCATCCACCACCCAATTACCAGTCCATGAAGCTCCACACCTGCTGTGTCTGGATACTCATAACACTACGCTGAAGCTTTTAACCCTCTCCAAACACCTACACAATGCTTTATAATAATAGTAGTTAGCACACGGGAAGCTATATTAAATAATTATAGACATACTTCAAACACCAGATTAGCAGATCCTTACACAGTGCTGAAGATCTGCAACAGATAGACCTCCAAGTGAAAAGCACAGTCATTTTCAGTCTGTGAGTCATGTTTAAGTCCTAGTCTCCTCAGAGAACTGTGAGCTCTGTCTGCTGTTCTTGTCCTAAGACTGGCCATAATAGATACTTTTTCAAGTCCCAAGTTTATGCAGAATTACGTGAATTTGTGGAGGAACGGTTTGCAATATGATCCACGTCTGTTCTACACACTCACTAATCTTACATGCAAATAGGAAGAATCGACATATTTAAGTATCTAGATTTCTTTTTTCCTCCTTGTTCCCCCACAAAATGTTTGAGCTTTTTAATTCCTATCTCATAATTTTTTAATTTTGCTGCAGAGAGTACAAAGACATTCGCATACTGGAGTGAACTGAAAAGTACTTGTATTCAGTCTGAAGAGCCATGTATCTCAATTACATGCATCCACTTCTCACACTTCTTCAAAAGACCAAAAACCTTAAATTCTCTCTCAATGCTGAACTAAGGTTAACTAGAGCAAGACATTTATAACCAACATGAGAAAACAAAGTATAGAACTACCTAGGGAGTTGATAGGTTTCGATGCTTAAATTTACTTAAATGTCCTTAACCATCTTGACTTCTATCATTTTTATTTTGTGCAAAATGTCCTCTAAAATATTATAGAAAACCCAGTGTGAAAGTCTTAGTTTTTTATTTACCTCTGCTGATGACGTAGTAACAATTGGTCTAATCTAGTCTAATCTATCACTTGAAGTTTATTTCATTGTCATCTTTCAGTTCCATGCATCTCTCCTAAATGCAGAAGCAGCATTTTTCTTGAAGAATACATGGTATGAGCACATTTCCAAACTCATTCTTCTGTCCTTTTCAAATAATCCAACATGACAGTTCAAACAGTGGTGGTAGAATGTGAGACTGAAAGACCATAACCATTTTTTGACTGGCGTACTGAACACAAGTTGCGATTGAGAATGAAGTATAAACAAGTATGTCAGTTAAATAGAAACATTAGAGTGAAGCTATGAGAAAAAAAGACAGGGATGGCAATTACTTAATAAAATTGGCCTGTATAAGGAGCATGCTGTTGGCATTTGTCTTCCTTTTTGTTCACAATATTTTACAAATTATTTTAATGTGGTGCTGAGGATCCTTTGCAAGATGTCAAGCACCTCAAAAAACTTGAATTCAGCTTTTATATAAAACTAAACACTATACTCTCTGTGTTTAGCAAACTTCATCAGAAGACAGGTTTATAAAAGTGTTTATAGGATGCTTGATGAAGTTAAAATCTTCCTAGCAAAGATGGAGTGCTGATTTAATTCAGGGATAGAAAAAAGAGTATATTACACAAATCCATTCATATGTAAGCATAAAATAAACATTAAAAAAATAAAATAAAAAGTAAACATAAAATAAGCATATATCAGAAATCAACATTTCTCTATATCAATCTGAAATAAGAAAATACCACCATAATGGGAGAACTGTAAATTCTTGTAGCAATGGTAAGTTAAAATGAAGAACAATTTCTAAACAGCATCACTGAAACAAAAAGTATTTAGAAGTCCAAACCTCCAGCAGCCATTTGAAATAAATATTGAGTACAGGTAAATAAAAAGTATCTCATATTCTCTTTAAGCATTCACAACCCCTCTGATTCCCAGGTTTGCATGTCTGCAGGAGAACATGGCACAGCGACAAAACCATTAGTGTATCCTCGCTTTTCGTACAACCATTCTGACCAAGTCAGAAAAAAATGTATCAAAAACTGCTCAGCCGGCGACACTCTTGGCAGATTGGGTTAGTGCCCTGTATTTTACAATCCCAGGAGGTTAGTATTTGTTCATTTCTATGGCGATTTATACTAATCAATCACTTCCCTCTCTTTCTTCCCTTACTCTATTTATTTCTATGGCAATTGATACTAATCAATCACTTCCTGCTCTTTCTTCCTTCACTGCATTTTTAAACCCACTAACTGGGATATGCAGCTTTGTAACATCTCAATGATCATTTCCTTATCCCCTCTCTGCCATTGTCATTTTGTGCTGAGACTAATGCTTTTAATTCTACTTTTCACAGTGTTTAGGCTATATTGCCTTTTTGAAACCTTTCAGCTCAACTGCTAAGCATGTAACAAAGCCCTTCAGATTGCTTTTGGTCGCACTAGTTCATGTTTTGAAAATACTACAAAGGCATATTTTTCATGGGAGGAGAGCCTTGGAATGAATACCCTTCTCCAAGCGCGATAGGAATGCCTCCAGTTCTTTTGTAAAATTTGCATTGAGGTTTAAGTCTCACATGCAAAGTGGCACCATACTGTCCAACAAACACAGGTTTCTTTTAAAAAGTGTGGGCTTGTTTTGGCTCTATTCGTCAGTTATTTTTTGGAAAATGCGTTAAAATATAGGAGCTTTGTTCTTCATGTTTCAATTCTGACACAAGGAAGTAGCGGGCACCAGAATGTTGTATTTCACAAAAATAAAACTGCTTGATTCACATAACTTCAGTGGCCTTCTAGTGTGGACTTATCTATAGTTTCTACAAAACAGCAAAGATCATTCATTTAAAGGAAGTTGTTTTCCCTAC